GTATTTTTAAATTAAAAATATTTTAAAAAATAATCATAACCATACTTTCAAACAAATTAGGATCATAATATATTTATAAATTTATAAATTAGATTTTTTCAAACTTTATTACTATATAAATAGATACTTTAATTAGTACTTCCTTGTTATGAAAGGTAATCGAGTTTGAGTTTCCTTGTCTTTATTTTTGTTGTTTAAGTGTAGTTAACCTTTATAAATTAATATTCTTGCAACTATAAAAAAGTTTATTAATTAATTGAGATATAATCTAAACTTTAAATTTAAATCAAGACTGAACAAAAAATATTATTTAATTAAATTTATTAATTTATGAAGGTTATAAATATGACCTTTTAATTTTTTTAATCAAGTATTTCTATTAAGAATTATCCCATCTCTACTTTTATTTTGGTAGATTAAAAATTTTACTTAATTTAAGTATAAATCCATAACATGGTTCAGTAAAAAGATCCACCATAATTTAACAATATTTTTTTTTAATGTTTTACCATATAAAAGAATACCAACCGTCGAAAACATTGACTTTTTAACCAATGAGCTTCAAAAAACAAATACTTGGTTAATAAATTATTTAAAGTTAATACAGTTAAATACAAAAAATATATTCACTCAAATAATAATAATAATAATAATACATGCACTCAATTTAAAAAAAAAAACATTATTGAGCTCTTGACAGACATATCATCATGTCAAGTATTAATTTAATGGCCGTGTTAATAAAATAGACAGAATCTAATAAAAACACTTGATTAAAAAAAAATTGAAAATTTATGTACTCAAATAGTAAAAATACAAAAATTGGAAAATTCATAAACTAATAATGTTATTACCTCTTTGACTTTTATTCTATTCAAGTTTTACAAAACTATAAGCGAATTCTTAATCATTCTAAAAATTTAATTATACACTATATACAATTTAATTATAATATATTTTTAGAATTAATTTTTTGATAATTTTGGTGTCAATGTTATTAAAAATGTCAAATTTATGACTTGCTATATAATTAGCTTAATCAAATTTCTATTAATAATTAATTTTTTTTATCAATGAATACAAAGCTTAATATGAGTAAATATTATTGCTTGAACCGATAACGCAAATTATATTCGAGGTGAATTGTATAATTTAGATTCAAATTTCATCATTTAAATAAAAAAGCTAAATATAAGGAAATGACTTATTAATTAAAATTCATTTCGAACAAAGTAGGAACCTTAAACTTGAATATCTTGTTTTTCAAATTTATAAATGCATTATACCGATAAGTAATGATTTTTAATTTATTATAATAAAAATATTCAAAACATTAAAGATATTGATGGAAGGCCTAAAGTTTATACAAGTCTAAACCAATAAGTATACAAAATAAAGATTCATAAAAGACATTTTTTCAACATAAATATAATAATAGAATTATAATATGTATACTAAATATATTTTCAAACTTATAATTGATGTTAATTCATAACTATAACATACATGCTAATAATAAAATATTTATCTTTAAATAAAAATAAAAATGTGTACTTGTTGAAACACTTTAAATAATAAAACTTTTATTATAATCAAAGATAATTTTTTTATTCTTAAAATTTTATTACTCCTCACCTATGCAACTAAGTTATTTATAATATGTTTTTCAAGATACCAACATCATCACCTTAATTTAAATACATTTTTATATAAGATTTTTAAATTAAAATAAAAAAGCTCAATTATCTCTCAATAAAATAAACTTAAACTCTAGATTTAAAAGAAAACACAACACATAAAAAAAGAAGAAAAAGACTAAAAATTACATCCTTCCTAACAAGATGAAATTAAGTATATAATTTGGGTAAAAATAACAAATTAAAAAAACATGACTGAAATGTAAAACATAAAGAGAATATATTTCTAATTTTATTTGATATAAAATTTATCTTGTTTATTTTAAATAATAAAGAGAGAAAGTTATTGATCGTTACAATTTTAAAAATCAAAATGGTCAAATTTTATGTCAAATAGTTCTATTCAACAAGAAAATCTCAATTGTAATGGTTTTTAACTTTTATTTTGTTTGAAAAAGTAGCTTGGGTTTGAAAGGGAATTTATTTTTATATTTTTATATTTTTTTAATCTTATTTTTAAATATTTTTAGTTGAGAGTTAGTTTATATAGGTTTCTAGGATATTTCTTAAGTGTTTTCATATCAAAATATAATAAAAAAAAATAAAATTTTTAACCTAAAAATACTACAGCTTGATTTTCCAGCAATCCCCTGGTAGTTAGAATAATGATATATCATTTTTCTTTTTCTTTTTTTAAAAACAAGAAAAGAAAAAACAACCAAGGCTAAAAAAGTGAACATGTCCTACAGGTAACCATAAAAATCGATTGTCATTTGCTCCTTGGAAAAGAAAAAAAAAAAGGCTAGAAATGTTAATATGTCCTATAACTAACCATAAGAAGTGGACTGCATGTCATTTGCTCTTTAATTAATATATAAAAAAATAATAATAATAAGCACGAGCATGTACCGTTTCTTTAATATATTTTTTGCAATATTTTTTTTTTACATGATAATTCACCAATCTTATAAATTCACATAGTTCCTAAATAATATTATAAGTTGTTATTAGAATGTTAATAATAATTATTTTTTTAATTAACATGTACATAGTATGTAAAAATTTAATAGTAATAATAAATTCCTCATAAATATTCATTTAAAATCATATTTTTATTTTAAGATTTTTAAAATATATTTTAACATGATTTTATTATATTTATGGTTTTCTTTTAGCATTCAATTACATACAAGATATTATAACTCATTTTTGTATTATTCCTTAAAATTATTATTTTTCTCTTTTTCCTGTTAAAAAAAAACAAAAATAAAAGAAGATATTTTTCTTTTAAGAATCCGAATATTCAAACTAGTTTACATATATTATAATTAATTTCTAAACTCATTAAATATCTTACCAATCCAATAAATAACTAATATACTGCAAAATGATATATATATATATATATATATATATATAAAATCTAACTCAAATACAAAAATAAAAACAAATTCATTTTCCTGCTGGCCTCGAACTCAACTATAATTCCATATTTTTCTTAAAACAACGAAAGGTTGATCTCCCACTATCGATGTTGGGTGCGTGGACAAAATTAAGCGAGGAAAGATCAAGGTACTTGTAATTAACTGAATCTGCTATGCATATTCTCCTTGGTCTTCTCCCCTTGTCCTGCGACGGTATTGATGATCAATCTGTAATAGGTCTTTCCATCCATGGCCAACTTAGAAGGGAAGAAAATCGAATTTATGAATGGCGAGAGCAATCCATTTGACGCCGTTATCTTTGCCATTTTGTCGTCCTCGAGCTCCCGTCCAAGCTTTTACTTGTTAGGTGTCCGATATGACGGGGATCCAAAAACTGTATTCAGGGCCTCTGCTCTTAAACAGTAATGTTTGGGCTTTCAATACTAGGAGGTTTCGAGCCCAAGCCCACTTTTAATTTCGACCTCCTCCTATTGACAAAGTCAGCTCTACCAGCCCTCCTTGGTCGGTCAAATGGAGGTGCCGAGGATTTTATGCCACATAATTGATGTTACCTGCCCTTCCGAGAAACTTCACGATCACGCGCCAATTATCAGGATATATAAAAGATCAATGATTGATTCTTCAAAATCTATTCGAAAATTATTTCAGTATTTAAATTTAATTATTTTTTTTTTAAATTTTCATTTAATTGATCTTCAAACTTAATTTTTTTCAATTAAATATTTAAATAAGTCAAATAAACCCATGGGCAATTTTATTAAGACATTAAACTTATTTAATTCTTTTAATTTTGATCAAATTTATATTTTAATATTAATTTTTATTATTTTAATATGGTTATTTTTTTTATTATTTTGGTCTATTGCAACGGTTTATTTCATCATGTTCTGAAAATATTTTTTTATTTTTTATTTCATTTTGGATTTTTGAATAAAAGATATATTTTTTTATAAAATAATGCCGGAATCTAAAATAAATAATGACAATGAGGATTACGAAACGGAGGGACGAAGGAATGGGAAAGAAGTGGTGTTTTCGAGGAACATGAATATATTCTCACATGTTGACTTTTATAGTTAATTTGAAGCAGCCCCTGTTGCTATTCGTTTTGCGATTAACTTCGAAGTCAATGCAAATATCAATTAATGTAGTACAAAAAGCATGAAGGAAATATTAATAATATCTATGTAATACTTAAATTATGGATCTTTTAGAAGCTCTAAAGTTCGTATAGTGTTTTTTTTTTAATCTCCATATGAAAAAGAATTTTTTTTAATCTTTTCCAACTAACAGAATGTTTTAAATATTATTTTGAAACATCTTTTCAGCTAAAATAATTTTTTATTTTTGAACAATGATGCCTAGGTTATGAGCCACCTAGGGTCATGCTCTTAAGGTTTTTTTATAGTTTTTATTTTTGTTTTTTTAAAAAATTTCATCTTGGATTTTTACTTTTTAATTTTATTTATAAAAAATTAATCTTATTTCACCCCATTTTAATCTCAAAAATATAATTATACTAATAGTTTTTTTTAAGTATTTTTTATTTAAAAATATATTAAAATAATTTTTAATTTTTAATTTTTTAAAATTTATTTTTGATATCATCCCATTATAATAATATAAAAATATTAATTAAAAAAATAAAAAAAAATGATGTGACTGTAAATAAACGTCCCCTAACATCTCCGGACTAGCGGTAAAAAGTTTATTCGTGGTCTTCCATTCATTAAAAAACAAAGCAGCTTGTAATTGATTATTTTTCCGTCCCCCCTCTCCCAGCCCCAGGAATTGACCATGCCTGGTCAAACCAATTGTTTTGATCAGGACTCATCGGCATCAACTGCCATTCCAACAAACTTATTATCAATTGTACTGTGGATTTAGAAGAGCAATAAGAGGGAGAAAAGTCAAACAATAAAGCAACCATAAAATTGATTTATCACTTTAGAAAAAAGAAGTACACGCATGATTTATGATGGATCGAATTACTATTACAGCAGTTCTTGTTCATTGTTGCCGTGTGTTGATTATGAACTCAAACATCAAATTGCTCTAGCTGGACATCCTTGGACTTCAAAGGAACATACTCTCCCAGATAAACTTCGAGGTGATCTGACAAGGCCGACTTGTCGATATTTTCATGGTGATAAGATTTGCAGACAAAGTAGATCACCGTTTGGATAACAAGTCCAAACAAATACAACACGAGAAGCACCAGCAAAGAGAGAATCCCAAATGATGCCCTGTTCAAGATGCCTAGTGAAGATCCGTGCACAACCTTCTTCTCAAATAAGATGTGTAATGCCACAGAAGAAAGATTTAGCTTGAAAAATATAATTATTGCCACCCACATCTTCCCTTTAATTAATTCCCTGCTCTTCATCATGGCTTTAAATCCAGAAGCCTCTTCCAACACGGACACAACACTTGCCAATTGCCAAATTATGCTCATGTACACAAGGCCCATGAAGTATAGAATCAATAAAAATAAGAGAAGTGGAACAACTTTGTTAGGGCCAACTAAAAACACACATGTAATAACGACTAATATAGAAACAAAGTTGTATGCAAAAACAGCAAGAAAGATGGACAAAAACGTGACCATGAGCCTCTTCCAAACCTTAGGGACAACACTCATCACCTTCTTGAATGTCACTTCTCGTGCGGTGTAAATGCAAGCTATGGTGTAAACAACAGCTGCAGTTGATAGAAGAGAGAATATAAGAAGGAAGGTGAAGTATGCAGCTTTGAATAGCCAAAAAGAGACCCATTCAGAAGAAATCATGTCAGATATTTTCTCGTATTTTCGGGTGCCGACTTGTGTCTCATCTAACTCTTCTTCGTTGTAGATTATCTTCGCAAAGAGGACATTGGATACCTCGATGTGAGCTAAGAAGATGAAAGATAGAGGAAGAATCAAGGCAAGAGTAATCTGACTGAAGATCTTTCTCCACGAGAAGATGATCCTATAAGCTTCTCTGTATATGCCAAAGACCCCAAGAAACTGCATCTCTTCTTGTTCTCTATCCATGACTAATTTCTAATTAAATGAAAGGGTTAAGGATTGGTAAGGAGAAAAATGGAGATCGGCGAAGGAGAAGTGGAGGGTCGACGTGAACGACCCGATTCTTTGCCGTCCTTCAAAAGCCAAAAGACTCTGTTATTATTTCCGTTTATTTCCTTTTTTCTCCTTTGAAAAGCTTTCAAATCAAACCAAGAACAAAGATCCTGACATATGAAGCCATCAAGAAATCGACGTGGCATTTCTTTGTGGAAAGTGGGCAATATATATATATATATATATATATATATATATTGCCCATTTTCCACAAAGAAATGCCACGTCGATTTCTTGATGGCTTCATATGTCAGGATCTTTGTTCTTGGTTTGATTTGAAAGCTTTTCAAAGGAGAAAAAAGGAAATAAACGGAAATAATAACAGAGTCTTTTGGCTTTTGAAGGACGGCAAAGAATCGGGTCGTTCACGTCGAGGCTAATATTCAATACATTTCAAAGGTAGCCTTATCGAAATCGAGCCAAGTCAACACGCTTTATCTCTTGCTAGGAATTTTCCAGATCTTAAATTATTAAAAGGCATAGCCACTAACCAAGCATTAAATTGAAATCTGTTTGCCGTGCAAAGTACAAAATTCACTCTACCCCTGGATTTGTATCCAGAAAATGAAGGGTACCGAGCTTCCTCTGAATTTCGGGATGGTAATTCTTGATATGAAATCAAATCATATTTATTACCTCAAAGATTAAAGGTTAGAATATTAAGTTACAAAATGTTAAGGATCCCTCAGTGCCAATCCGGCATTGAACTTTTGGATTGCCTTCTTTCATGTTATATTACTCATAGTTCCGACAGTGACTAGAGAATAGCCGGATGTCGTGCTCGCGACCGCGTGATGCTGAGTTTATGACATATTTGTGTATTGTTATAGATTTATAGAAAAAATTATATAGAAAAAATTATTATAATTTATAATATTTTTATGTAAAAAATTAAAGAGTTAAAATTTTAACTAATTTAATATTAAAAAAATAAAATCAACAAAAATAATTTTAGAAAAATTTATAAAAAATGACAGGATAAAAATCAAGTAAGAAATATTTTAGCAATCTATAATATTGCATGAGAAAATTTAAAGTTGTAATTTTCAACTAACTTAATATTAAAAATAATAAAATTAATAAAGATAATTTTTAAAAAAATTATAAAAAAAATATCAAGTGGAGAAACACTGTAGTAATCCACAATGTTTAAAAAAAAAACTATGAAGTTTAATTCTCAATCAGCTCAATATGAAAAAAAAAAATTGATAAAAAAAATTCTAGAACAAAAATCATAAAAAAATCATGTAGTTAAACACTAGAGCAATCCATTTTGTTTTAAAGAAAAACGATAAGAAGCTAAATTCTCAACTAACTACATGTTTAAAAAATAAAAACAAAAAAAAAATTTGGAGAACAAAAGGAAAAAACAATTAGAAAAAAAAACATGTGGGGAAAGTTAAAGTTAAATTCTCAATTAGTTAAATATTAAAATCATTTAGAAAAATACTATAACAATTTATAGTATTTTGTGAGAAAATATATAATTTTCATTTTCAACCAGCTCAATATTTACAATATAAAATCAACAAAGATAATTTTAAAAAATATCACAAAAAACAAAAGGAAAAAAAACCATGCAAGAAAAAACTATAGCAATCTATAATGTTTTATGAGGAAATCTACAGTTATAATTTTCAACCAGCTCAATATTAAAACTAATAAAATTGATAAAGATAATTTTGAAAAAAAATCATAATAAAAAAATTACGTAGAAAAACATTGTAGCAATTAATGGTATTTAAAAAAATTACAAAGCTAAATTTTCAATCACCTCAGTATGAAAAAAATAAATTCGATAAAGAAAGTTTTTTTAAAAAATCAATAAAAAAACATATGGAAAAATACTGTAGCAATATTGTAGCAATTCTCATTGTTTTAAAGAACTACAAAACTAAATTCTCAATCAGCTCAATATAAAAAAATACAATTGAAAAAGATAATTCTGAAAAAACAAAAAAATAATTTTAAAAAAATCTTGTAGGGAAACACTATTGCAATCCACAGTGTTTTAAATAGAAAAACTAAAAAACTAAATTTTCAACTAGCTCAATAATAAAAAAAATAACAAAAAAATTCTGAAAAAAAAAAGAAAGAAAGAAAAGACAATTTTGGAGAAAAAAAAACATGTAGGGAAAGCTAAAGCTAAATTCTCAACCAATTCGATATTGAAAAAATAAATTTGATAAAGATAATTTAAAAAACACATGGGGAAACATTGCAGCAAAATAAAAATCATGTGTTGAATATACTGTAACAATCCATAATGTTTATTTATAAAAAACTATGAAACTAAATTTTCAACCAGCATAATTTTTTAAAAAAAATCATGAAAAGAAAAAAAATCATATAGGAAAAATTGTAGCAATCCACATTTTTTTTAAAAAAAAAAGATTATATAACTAAATTCTCAACTAATTCAATATTTAAAAAAATCAGTAAAGATGATTTTGAAAAAAAAAATAAAAAATTGAGAAAGAGAAGAAGAAGAAGAAGAAGTCAATTTTAGGGAAAAAAACAAAAAAAACATGCAAAACATAAAATAAAAAAAGTAAAGAAAAAGATATAAAAAAAGTTATAATACTTTTCCCACACGTTTTAGAGTATTGATTAATGATCCAATCACTTGTGGTGGGCCTGAGCTGAATTTTAACTCATGTCCTAGTTTGGACTTGTCCTGATCACCCCCTCAAATGATGTCATTGATCACTTATCATTCTAATAATAGATTCTAAGATGTTTATACCTAAACCTAATTGCCTGGTATTTTCGTGGGTAAATTCATATTGATTTTATGAGTTTGAAAAAAAAATATAAAATTATGTAATCAGTAATCTATATTTTAGTATTTTTATTATTTAAATTTAAATCTCACAAAACTTGTGCAATTTGATAATCAAGGACTTGATTTTGACTGTAATTATTATAATTTGTTTAATGATTTAAGTTATATATGAATTTTATTTTCATTAAATAAAAATACATATTTATTTTTAACAGTTTCTTATGTAAACTTTTAACATATCAATTGACAATTTCCTCTATTTTAGCTAGCGATATATAGAATAAAAGTTATGAATTGACATGCTTGACTCTTGGAGTAATTGATTAGTATTTAAAAGTGCATTTTCACTCCTACACTTGAGAGAAAAATTGACATGCTTGACTCTTGAAGTAATTAATGTTAAATGATCTACTAAAATTTATAATAATATATCTAATAATACTTAATACCTTTAATTTGTGGTAAATATTCATTTTAAATGCAGGCCTATCACATAAATGAAAGGATTGATTGATGATTTTAAGAATTTAAATTGGTAGGGCAAAAAGATGACCAAATTTACAAAAGAGATGTCGGTGCAATCCAAAAATATATAATTAGCTAAAATATGATACTTATGATTTTATAATTTCACTATTTAAGTTTACGATTTGAGTTTATATTGTATATTCTATGTTGTATCAAAAAAATATTTTTGACAACCTTATTCTTACCCATCAACTCTGTGTGTTGGTTAGTGCTTGAAGCTTAATGTTAACATAACCCTCTTGTCATCACAAAAATCCACAAAATAATGTTAAAGCATTCCTATGCGATCACTTTACCATATCTTTTTACAATCCATGTTGTAACCACTCATTATTAAGAATTATTATCCTTAAATAGACTACACAATATATTCTTATTTTTATAGTCTATTTTATGCAAGTCAATATGATTTATAAGTATATTAATACCTATGAATTACCGAGTAAAGAATTGAGCTCATTAACTCACTCATAAACAAATAAAAAAATAATATTTTCCATATCTTTTGCACCTATCATTTTTAATTATCATCTATTTAATATATAATATATGATCTTTAAAACTATAATCGTCTTACATTTTTACTAACTTCAGAATCAAAGAATCTTTTTAATATTCTTATATTTGTCATATACTACATACAATCTAATATGATTCCAACATATATAAATATCCATGAATCTTCCAGTAAAGGTTGAGCTTATTAACTCATCCATAAACATATAATTGTCACGTCCCCAAAGGTGACCAACACATGGTTTAAAGTGTGAATGTGTAAGCTATTTAACTACTTTGACCATGTTAAGCCTAAAAAATATCAATCTAGAAAATTTCTCAAACAAGAAAGAATTATATAACTAAAGGCGCTTTAATTACACCTATCATATGTTATACTCTTATAAAATATCTATTTTTTATGCAAACATCTCAAAACACACCCAAATTCACAACACACACATACATACACATAACTCAAAACATGAAAAGACAAAACAAAGTCTTTGAGAAATACAAGGGCAAACTAACAACATATCAACATATAACTTTAGCATACAATTAACTTTCCCTTGCTTTTAAATCTATATGCATTAAAGAAAAATAATTGTGGAAAATAATATGCTTTCACAAACTATTATCAATATAAATACATCTAAAAATAATATTATCAAATATATATATGATGTTTTAGTTATATATTCTCAAACTAATGCAAAATCCATCAAATCATTCTTAAAATAGAGTTAAAAGAGAGAGAAGAAATAGCAGAGCTTATATAGGTGCACCATTATTAATGAATGTTTAAACTTTTCACTCATATATATTATGATATGAACATGTGATATAATCAATTTTTTTAGTTTTAAATTTCAAAAGGTGCAAACTTTTTTCCTTCATACAACATGCCTCCATGTTTCCATTTTAATCCTTTAAGCATGCAATCATATTAACATATAAAAATATAAAATGATTGATATGTTTTGTATAATCTCTATTGTTATTAAGAAATATAATGAGAAAGATTGATATGTTTTATATAATCTAAGATCTCTTAAGCAATGGTGTCGTATTCAATATCATGTCGGTCATAAAAGTTTTCATGAAAAGAAATGAATTTCTTGCATTCTATTTTTTTGATGGGAAATGGTCTTGTTTAAGAAGTTGCTACCTAGTATTATGG